GGCAGGGGCAATACAAGGAGGCAAGGGTGAGATAGCAGAGGAGGCCAAGGCTGCCACCTGCCCAGGGCCACTGCCTCACTTCGCCTCGTAGCAGATCCTGGCATAGGACTCTGGACTACAGTTTGAACTTCACAATATTAAAAATATGTTGTATTGCAACTGGTGTTCTTGTTCATAAAACTTTGTGAGATGGCAAACCAGTGATCTGGTCTTGAACATACAGGTCAGGGTGATGAAGAAGGTGTTCAGCTTTGCCACTAGAGGGCTCTGATGTTACATTTTTAGGAATGTTTCACCATTCCATGTGAAAAAGTATGATAAAAACCTCTTCCATCTCCTTGTGTTCCAGTTACCCGTAAAGGCAGTAATGCCTCTGAAAGCATCTACAAGTAATCCACTTTTACAAGGGATTATCTATTATTTATTTTATTTAAAATATTTGTTAGCTGCCTTTCTTTCTTACGGAGCTCAAGGCTGCTTACAATATTAATATCAGGGCTCTTTTTGTAGAAAAAGCCCAGCAGGAACTCATTAGCATAATAGGCCATACCCAACAGCAGAAACTCATTAGCCTATTAGGCCACACCCCTGACAGCACAGCTCATTAGCACATTAGGCCGCACCCCCATGTTACCAGAAGTGTGGTTATCCAGCCACACCCACCTTTTGCTTGTTATTCTGTTTACCTTGTTTGTTGTCAAAACCCAGGGCTTTTTTGTAGCAGGAACTCCTTTGCATGTTAGGCCACACACCCCTAATGTAGCCAATCCTAATGAGTTTCTGCTGTTAGGTGTGGCCTATTATGCTAATGAGTTCCTGCTGGGTGTGGCCAACTCGGGAGCCAGCCGGAACTCCGTTCCTGTGCGTTCCTGCCCCAAAATAGCCCTGAATATAATACATAAAATAGTGTACAGAAAACCCAAATTTAAAATCACAATTCAGGATCCTTTATGGATTTCACTTGGAATCCACTTGATGGAAAAAAGAGGGAAGAATTCTAATTTATTGTAGGACTGACGAAGAGTTGGTTTGGTCCAACACCACCATCCTCATAACAGATGGAAGGCAGACAGCAGTATTCCAACTAGGCTTCACTATTAGATCAGGGTAGCTGGAGCACTGCTTGGGAGCAGGTAGTGTGTCCTCTTGCGGATGAGGTGAGTGTAAAGAAAACCAGTGCCAGCATGCTCATGACTATGAAAATGGTGAAGTGTCATATGAGAACTGGCCCTCTGCTTGGCGTAAAGGCCTGGCAAACATTTCCTTCTCATTTAGGCTGTTGTGGACAATTGTTGATTTTTTTCAGCTGCCTTGTTAGACTTCTCAACTCTTAAATATTACTTGGTCTCTAAATGCATTCCTGATGAGCAGCCATTCAGATTACAAGGAATATGAGTCGTAGATATGTTGGTGTCATTTTTAAAGGCAAAATGAACTTCCCTATGCTTTTCTTTCTTTTCTTTTTTTTTACAAAAGTTCAACATTTTCCATTTGTTGTTTGTTTAAAATATGCATAACTTGTGCAATGTTCAAGCCTCATAATGCTCACATCAATAATTAAAAACCTGTACTGATAAAAAGCATAAAAAGTTAAGCTATTAAGCAGCATCCGATAATACATTTTTTTGTTGAAAACAGAAACAAATAAAAGCAGCATTTCAAGTTGTACAAACAGATTGAAAAAGATAAAATAGTAAAACACAAACCAAATATTTTCCTTTCAGAGCTAAAATAGTGGAAAGCCTATAGTTTTAAAATCTCAGGTATATTTTCCTTTTAAATTAAATACCTTCTGTCTTTCAGACTTTGGACTTGGTAAACATGAGATGCAACACTTAATCCCTTCATCTCTTTTGACACTTATGTTTTGAGATTTGCAGGGCAGGTTTGTGCATGCACATAAAGCACTTGGTGCTTATTCTTCCTAGGATTGTACCACTTCAGACTGCTAGCATGAAAATTGTGTACTTGAATTCTTCCTTATGTGGAAGTGGTGAGAATCGCTATCAACAGAAAACCTGTATAACACTAAAGTGGTTTCAAGCTAGCCTTTTCCATGTATTTTATCTGCATGCTTTATTTGACCCTTTGAGTGAGTGTTAATCCTGCTTTACAGACAAGGTTGAACTCACTAAAACAGATTGCTTATAATCAGGCAGAATGACCATAATCCAGAGCATCATGTGACTTAAGTTACATACACCCCTTGGGTTTTTGGCTTGCTTTAAAAAATGGCCAACTAAAGTGAGTTTTTGCAGTGTAGCATGGGAAGGATGATGAGGATGGTGGGTTACTGTTCCAAAAAGAAAATGTCAAAAGTCCTACTGAGTATGTTGGGTAAGCTCCCAAGATGCAAAGAACCAGGTGTTGACCTATATTATTGTAATTGTGCCATACAAAATCAAATGTAGTTTTAATTGTAATATGTCATTGTGGCATAATGATTACAGGATGGAGAGGAGTTTGTCAAGAAAATTGGTGGTATATTTGCCTTCAAAGTGAAAGATGGCCCTGAGGGTAAAGAAGCAACTTGGATAGTTGATGTGAAAAATGGTAAAGGCTGTGTGGATGTTAACTCAGGTCAGTGCTATTTTCTGTACCATAAAGTGTTCTCTTGTTTTAGAATTAAAGATCTAGATATACAGGTTTCAGGATCTTGAGATGCATAATATAAGTGTCTTTTGTTAAAGAGTGCTTTGTACATTTATTGTACAACAAATGCATTTATTTCATTTACACTGTTTATAGACCGCCCTTCTCATTGAGTCTTAAGACGGATAATGTAATGTTAATACAGTCAACAGGATGGGACATCCAATAAACAATGCAATGGGATTTGGATTGCAGAAGTTTGGAAACAGAGCTGAGACAAAGCATAAACATTAATATGACATGCTAAGAAGTGCAGAAATTACATAGTAGGATCCTGCTTGCAGTAACAGACAATATGAACTATATGCAGTAGTATATAGTCCATAGTCCCTAATCCTTTACCAAAGCATCTTCCTGAACCTTTCTGTTGTGATCTAGCCCTGTTTTCTTTGTAAAAATGCGATGCTGAATAATTCAGTTTTGCATAATTTGTGGAATGCCAGGAGAGTGGGAGCTTTCCTGTCTTCATCTGGCAAGCTGTTCCATAAAGTGGGGACCACAACAGAAAATGCACATGTACAGGAAGTTGTTGATTTTGCACCTGCAGAAGGACCTAATCAGATCAGCAAAGCTGTCATGGCAGAGCTTAGGGGGAGAGGTGGTCCTGCAGATATGAGGGACCAAGGCCATGAATGGCTTTGTATGTTATAGCCAATACCTTGAATCCAGCCCAGTTACTGATGGGCAGCCAACGGAGTGACTGTAGAATGGGAGTAATATGTACAGTGTGCTGCTGCTGTTACAGTAAAGGAAATAATCCACTGAATTTACCCTGTATTCTATTGAACTCTGAACGTGGCTTCTCTTATCAGCATTTTGTCCTTGGACATGGATCAACTGAGTAGGTAGAAATTAATATTGTGAAAGATAATGAGAAAGTGTTTATGCAACACACTTGATTAAAGAGCAGCAATACAGAGATAGAGATCTGCCTATTTAAAAAATCCTGTTTTAGAAATGGAATGCTTTAAAGATTTTCTAGACTTCTAACCAGGTTATGGTCTGAAGGCATACGATCTAGCAACATTACTTAAGCTAAGCAGGTCTGGATCTGGTTAGTACCTGAACGGGAATCTTCTGAGAACCATATAGATGTTGCCTTGGGTTCTACAGAAGAGAAGCAGGGTATAATATAATTATGTGTATTATGACTGATGAAATGTATACAGTCTCTGTGTGTAGAACAGGTGGATATTTGCAGGGTTTTTTGGAGCCACAAGTCATCATCATCATCATCAAGTTTATTGCATTAGCCATTGGCCATAACAAAATATAAAAACAAACACAATCCTTATACATCACATTAAGTTATCCCTTCACTAACTTGCACTGAATCCTAGCCTTAATCTTATCTTTTTTGCCGCCAAAACAAACAGGGACATTCTGCTGGTAACATACACATCCATATCAGAGAGCAAAAAAACAACCAACTCTTGTTTTGAGAATCCATTGTGCAAAGGTAAAATAGGGTATATAAATCTCTGCCTAAGTGATTCGTGCCATGAGCATCTCAGTAAATAGTGCTCAATATCATCCACTTCGCCCAAACCACATTGACAGATTCTTAAGGCAACAGGTAAACCCATAAAACGACCAACAGACCATTGAAGGAATGGCATGGAATCTGAGGGCTGTAAAATGCCCTTCTTAGGTCAAGATTGGTTAGTTTAAATAGCCAGTCCTACAGTGATCTCTTTTAAAGATCTTAAACAGAGGGGCCGTTCGGCAACTTGCCGCCGCATGAAGGTTCAAAAGGCCGTCCTTATGAAATACCCATTCCTTCAATTTGGACTTTTGATTATCATTATCCGCTAAACCCATTAGGTCATCCGGAATTGAGTATTCCTGTAGGATAGAAGACAGATAGTCATTTAAACTTTTGGAAGATTTCAACAATAATCCAAAACTTTGGACCCCTAGGATGTCCTGGGGTCGTTCCTGACATTTCCTCCAGTAGGAAAGAATTCTTACATTTGCCCTGGCTTTCAGCGATGCCATACCCAATTCTATCCTCATCAGTGCCACAGGTGAACCTTTAGGCAAAACCAAAATCCGTCTCATGAAATAATTTTGCAGTTTCAATCAGGGTTAGCATCGACTCATTCCAACCCCAAATCTCTACCCCATACAACATTGCAGCCGTTATCTTACTTACAAAGACCTTGACAACCGGATCAATCATACCACCACCCCTGGAGAAATAAAACTTCAACAAAGCCCCTAAGTTACTCATAGCTGCAATCTTCAGTTGTATAATATGGGGCCGCCAGGAAAGGGTCTCAGAGAAGGTTATGCCTAAGTATTTATATGTACTGCATTGCTCGATTGGTGTACCAAGGATACTCCATCTGGATTTCTTAGGTCTTTTCCTGAATACCAGAACTTTGGATTTGGCGTAGTTTATTTGCAAGGCTTTGGAGCCACAAGTCAGCATCTCAAAGTTAACTAAGTTGACACCCCCAAAGTTAACTAACTTTCTAGCTAGTTCCATGTGAATATTCTCTGATCTGTGAGTGACTGAATGCAGTTTTCTTAAAGTATTAAACACAGGCCCTTCTCTCTTTTTCTCTGTATCGTCACATTCAGAACGTTTTAGTTTGCTTTCCTTGCCAGCTTGCTATGAGCTAGTCCTAGACAGAACTAGAACAGAGCCTTGGCAAAAATTAGGTGGCCCTTTGAGCAAAGTTGGATATTACAAATACTTCAAAAGAGCTACAAGCCAGCTTCTTATTTTCTTGCAAGTTTTTTGGCACTTGAATTTGGTTTGAACCACTCTAGGCAGAAGAGCCATTCAAGGCTACTGTTGAATGTAGAAATATGGCTCTCATTAGTAGAGTGGACAAAAAATGGACAGTACTGAGCTCAAATGATATTAGTACCTGCTTAAAGGATCCCTTGGCTCAGTAACTAACTCTATGACTGTAATGGAGGTTATCCTTTATCATTCTGACCCTCACAAAAACATATGCTTTGAAACTTGATTTTTGCCTAATCCCACTGAAATAAGTAGCAGAATATATCCAAATATGCAGTGCCCCCTTAAACAATTGCTGCTGTTCTCTGAGAACTGTATCCTACAAACTGTGAATGGAAGGACTTCAGAAGAATTATCCTTCCTGTTTTTCTTGCCATCATCTTTGCCCACCCAAGCTGTGGTGCCCAAGCTGTATGAGTGAGGGGACTGCATCTTCAGGGAAAATTGGCAGAAATAACCCCCTTCCTTTACACAGAAGGGGTCAGAAACTCACCCTTCTTTTTGTACCCACCATGTACTGCATCCCACCTATGTCCTAAGGATCCCAGGCCACCAGGAGCAGCTTTTTGGGAATGCCAGGTGAACTCCTTCCAGTCATAGAATCCAACCCTCTGTTGTTAAGATTCTGAGGCCCAACTATGTGAGTCACTGGAAATCAAATCCATGGTTGCATCTCCCATTTCTCTCTCAGATTTGTTTTATGAACAGCTGCAAGGATAGGGCAGGAGGAGGGTTGAATTGGGTTTGGACTGAGGCATTTACACTGAGGGAAATGGCAGAAAAAAAGAAGGTTAACACACAGCCCATGTACCAATCCAGTTGTGTCTTCCCCTCAGAGTCCATGGTGTAATATTGAACTAGCACTAGGGAGACCCAGATTCAAATCTTCATGCTGTCATGTATTTCACTTGGTGACTTTGGTCAAGTCACTCTCTCTTATCCTAATCTACCTCACAAAGTTGCTGTGAAAAAATGGAGGATTGATTGTATGCTGCCTTGCACTCCATGGAGGAAGGATGGAAGGAAAAAGGTGAAAGGCATTTTTGAAAGAAATGTTGAAGGGAGACGCAATAGTGGATTCATTCTCCAGTGGCTTTTTAGTGTGGCCCTGTCCTAAAGCTAGAATGCTTAAAGTCATCCATTTTGGTACTTACAGATAAGAAAGCAGACTGCACAATTACAATGGCTGATTCTGATTTGTTAGCAATGATGACTGGGAAGATGAATCCACAAACAGTGAGTAAAAGAAATAAAATATAAGTGCTCTGCTGTTTTATCACAGTGAATTAAAGAAACCATGTTCCTTTCTTTCCCTTCCAAGTTGTTTGGACTACAGCACTGATAGCTATTTGCTAGTTTTGGAGTACTGTTGAACACCTGCTCACAACATCAGAGCTAAAGTTGACAACTGAAGGCTACTTTGTTGTGCAAAAATGGCCTTTTTTTGAATGGCTTTTATTATTTGACTGAAGAAACAAAAGCAAAGTTCTCCTCAGCCATCAGTAATCACTCTGGAACAACGAGACCTGGGTTTTGAGATACTTATTTATTTTTGAAAGTTCTGCCCCGCCGTACCCCGCAAGCGGTCTCAGGGTGACTTACAACGTATCATAACAAATAAAACAAGATCCAAAGCAATCAGTACAGAGACGGTCAGGGCCGGCCCCAGCTTTTTTTGCCCCCTAGGCGGGGATCCCTTTTGGCCCCCCCCCCCCCCCGCGTCTGCCATTTGTTAAAAATAAATGCATCTTAGGAAGAATGAAAACACAAATAATCAAGAAACTCTCAGAGTACGGGGCTGGGTGCAGTTTGGCGCCCCTAAGGGCCGGCCTGCTCTAGGCGATCGCCTAGTGAGTGAGCCGGCCCTGGAGACGGTACAGAGGAAGGTTCACTTGCGGAACATATAAATGTATAGACAGACTTTTTAAAAACCCAGTTGCTCAGGGAAAGACTCAGGACTCCAAAATTCTCTTTGGAAATGGGGACTTGTGATAAAGCTGAGAAATTTTGGACAGAAGTCCATAGTGAAATGCAAAAAATATTGAAATGTACTTTAAAAAAAACCCCAGAAATATTACTTTTAGGACTTAAGATGGAAGAAGTGAATGTAGCTAAAAGAACACTGTTATGGTATTTGATTACGACTGCCAGAATGACGTATGCGCAATTTTGGAAACAAGATAGAGTGCCAGAGATATGGGAATGGATCAAAAAAGTACTCTTTATGGCTGAAATGGACAAACTGACAAGGAAATTGAATAATAAAGGAGATCAAGAATTTTTTGAAGACTGGAAAGACTTTAAAGAATATATGGAAAATAATCGGGATGTTAAAAATAATTTGCTTTGTTTTGAGAGTTATTGAAAATGGAAGGCAATTAAATGAATGATGAAATATTAAATAGATAAGGTTACTTGGATAAGAGATTATGAAATAAAAATAGAGAAGAGGGATTATAATTTTGATAAAATTGAACAATGTAAGAGGAGGAAGTAAAACTGGATATTGTAAAAGGATGGAGCATTGCGGGAGGCCAACAAAGGGGGGGAAGGAGGGAGGAAAAAGGGATATATGGGATGAAATTGGAAATATATAATTGTAATGTGGTTTTTGTTAAATATATCCAAATAATAAAATTGTTTAAAAAACAAAAAACAAAATTCTCTTTAGAAATGGGATTGTGAGAGGAAAATAGTAAGGAAAAAAAAGGAACACTTTGGGGTACATTTGATTGTTTGTGGCAGTGTTAGAAAGGGAATCTTTGTTCAGATACGTAAGCAATACGGTCCAAAATAGCTAGTGCACATGAAAAAAAAATCTGTAAAGCCATTTATGTAGTACCTCATAGTATACAAAATGATACATATTTCATATAGAAGTATTTGCTTTTTATATACCCGGATGATAGTAGAAAGTTACATGCATTTTATAATCCATTATAAAACTTCAGACATAAGAAGCAGTCACTTTTGTGATAGCCTTCTGAATTAATTTTCCTTTAGTTGTGAAAGAAACAGTTTAAGAAGATGATTGTTCGCCAGGAACAATGAAAAGCATTGATACCAAAAAACCCTAATCCCACTCCCTTTTTGTTTCCTCTAGGCTTTCTTTCAAGGCAAATTGAAGATTTCTGGGAACATGGGCATGGCTATGAAACTACAGAGCCTACAGCTTCAGGCGGAAAAAGCTAAACTTTGAACCACTATAACTTCAGGATTTGATGAAGACTTGAAAAATAGTTTCTTAAGAGCTAGGCTGGAACTAGGTGTTGGAATTAGCACAGTACAGGTTTTCTGAACACATGTGATCAACTCTAGCTTCCCTGAAGCCTCTGTTTTAACGGCAGTTTTGGCATTGCCTTCCATGAATCAGTCTAAACTGCTGCAAAATGGTTGGGATAGTGTATGACTGTTTATAATGGTTAAGACCAGCATGATGTACCATGATTTTGGTACATCTAGAGTGGTTTAACACATTCTAAAACAAGTGATTGATCAGTGCTGTCATTTTTTGTGAAACTTTAAAAAGTAGAAAGAACATTGGGAAAAGATAGTGTAACTTTTTTCTCTTAAATATTTCTTTTTCATGTTTTGAAAAAATCTCTCATAGTGGTTCAGTAAAATATTATTTACTTTGCCTGAGATCCAGAGAGCTAATTTAGACAGGCCAAAGATTTCAAAGAGCAGGTACATTCCCCCCGCCATGTCAGAAAATGCTTTTGAAAGTACTCCATTTCAAAAATGGTTCACTATATTGGCATGGAGAGCTGGTGAGAGTTCTCTTGGGCATGTGGAACTGTCTGTGCACGTCTTTGAAATCCCAACCATTTACTTCTTTCTAAATTAATAGTTAGATCTTTTCCTTATGAAAATCAAATCTGTGCACTAATGAAATTAATTAATAGAGCAAAGAAATTGTACTGCTTATTCCCTGAAATTAAGTTTATGAGAGCAAAGACTAATGCTTTTAAAATTTCATTTATTTAATTATGCTATATAGAGAGTTCTAGAAATTGATTAAACTCTATTAAATTCTTATCTAATATACTTTTTAACTCATTCTATGTTGGGAAAATAACATTCACTGATTGAAAGTTTCATAGTAAATTAAAGTTGTTCTTCAGTTTGGTCTTTCTTCCTCCATCAAAAAGTAAAAATGTAAAAGGTAAAAAGGATTCCTTTAAGTGGTGGAAAGCTAGTCTCAGTGAGGTTGATAAAAGGGAACACAGGCTGTGGCAAATAAAAGGCAAGTCTGTGATCAGGAAGGCAAAAAGGGAATATGAGGAGCATATAGCAAAAAAAAAATAAAGACCAACAATAAAGCTTTCTTCAGATACATTAGAAGCAAGAAACCAGCCAGGGAGGCAGTGGGGCTCTTGGATGACCAAGGGGTAAAAGGAGTACTGAAGGATGATAGGGAAATGGCTGAGAAGCGAAATGCATTTTTTTGCCTCTGTCTTCACTGTGGAAGATGAGATATGCTTGCCCACTCCAGAACCGCTGATTTTGGGAGGGGTGTTGAAAGACTGAATCAGATTGAGGTGACAAGAGAGGAGGTCCTAAAACTGATAGACAACTTAAAAACTAATAAATCACCAGGCCCGGATGCCATACATCTGAGAGTTCTGAAAGAACTCAAATTACGAAAATATGTAAACTTTCATTAAAATCTGCCTCCATTCCTGAGGACTGGAAGGTAGCTAATGTCACCTCCATCTTTAAAAAGGATTCCAGAGAAGATCTGGGAAATTACAGGCCAGTCAGTCTGACGTAAATACCGGGTACGTTGGTGGAAACCGTTATTAAGGAAAGAATTAGTAGGCACATTGATGAACAAAACCTATTGAGGCAGATTCAGCATGGGTTCTGTAAGGGAAGATCTTGTCTCACTAACCTGTTAGTGTTCTTTGAGGGGGTGAACAAACATGTGGACAAGGGGGACCCAATACATATTGTTTACTCATTTGGAGTACTGTGTACAGTTCTAGTCAGCACACTCAAAAAGGATATTATAGCATTGGAAAAAGTGCAGAAAAGGGCAACTAGAATGATAAAAGGGTTGGAACACTTTCCCTATGAAGAAAGGTTAAAACGCTTGGGGCTCTTTAGCTTGGAGAAACGACGGCTGAGGTGTGACATGGTCGAGGTTTATAAGATTATGCATGGGATAGAGCAGGTAGAGAAAGAAGTACATTTCTCCCTTTCTCACAATACAAGAACTCGTGGGCACTCAATGAAATTGCTGAGCAGTCGGGTTAGAACAGATAAAAGGAAGTTCTTCACTCAAAGAGTGATTTAACACATGGAATTCACTGCCACAGGAGGTGGAGGTGGCTTCAAGCATGGATGGCTTCAAGAGGAAATTAGATTAAACATATAGAGCAGAGGCCCATTGGTGGCTATTAGCCACAAGGTATAGATAGGATCTCTCAGTCTGGTGCAAGTGATGCACTTTATTCTTGGTGCCTGGGGGGGGGCAACGGTGGGGGGGCGTCTAGTGTCCTGGCCCCACTGCTGGATCTCCTGATGGCATCTTGTATTTTTGGCCACTGTGTGGCAGAGTGTTGGACTGGATGGGCCATTGGCCTGATCCAACATTGGCTTCTCTTATGTTCTTATTTAGCTATAAATAAGAGTTCATAGGAGTTGCATTTTAGTAATATCAGATAACATTAATATGCATACAACATACACTCCTACAGAGACTGCTCATCTATATATTAACCTACACACTGGTTCTGTAGATAAAGAAAACTTATGTGTGACAATTTGTGGGTATTCTGCTGGAGTCTGAAACTGCAACAAACCCTGAAATAAATTAATTTTTCCCCTTCTGTTCTAAATCACAGCCAAGGGAGGTTAAATGTCACATAAATGTTGGTCTATTCATGTCTTTAGTATCCAAAAGCATTTCTACATATATCCTTTTCTAGTAATCCTACTGCTAAAAACATTTCCCTGCTGCTTCTCTGACAGGTGTAGTACATGAGAGATCAGTCTCAAATGCCTTTGTGTTACAGAATTATAAACATCGTGGAAGAGAAGTATGCTTGATTGTGTACTTGATAGCAGCCTATATAACATTAAATTAGAAACAGATGTGCAGATACATTCAAATGGAGCATGTAAGCAACAAAGATTGTACTCCAATCTAGTCCATTGACTACTCATGGTAAGTAATCATGGTCTTGACACCACATTTAAACACTTGGGTTTAAATATATGAGTAGAGAATACATGTGTAGCATGCCAATTGAGATGAATGCCTGTATCTCAGAAACATCAATGTTCCTTTTTAGAGTTACAAGGTAGCAATCGGGAAAGGATTGAGCCTCCACTTCTTTGCATTTAATAGATAAATATGGTGCTGATTATCTCACTGTCAGCAGTTGTCATCACAGTGGATCTTTCCTTTCCCTCCCCTCTGGTAATGTGTTGCTTATCTTGAAACTCCTATCTGAGGGTAAGATGCACCACATTAAGGGAATTGGGTTGCCATTAAGGATACGGGATTGGGCAAAATCACCACCTCTTTTATCTTCTGTTGGCATCTTGCACATGACTCTAAGGTGGATGCCTAGAACTAAGGTACAAAGTTGATATGTAAGTGCTTAAAAACATGTGTCCTGTAGGATACTTATGAGTAGAGAAGTATTGATGAAACGTGAAAGAATTCTAATTGATGGGAGTCACCTTACTTGATAGTGTAATCAGTTTGATGTCACTGTCAGCAAGTGCTGAACATGCATATGTAAATCAGCCCTAAGGAAACTGATTTCATTTTATTAAATGGCTACTACACCATTAGTTCATACCAAGTTTCAGGCACCTTTCATACCTGCAAATGGCAATGAAGGGCATGTGCACTCATCAGACTTTTATAACTAATGAAAATAATTACATTTAGTAGAGCTGAAGTAATGAAGGCCAAAGAATTGAGCAGTACTACCCTGTGCGTATGTCCTTAAAGGTTAACTCCTGTGGCATATGAATGGATCTTACAGGTAAGTGTGCATAGGTCTGCAGGCTTAATCGTTGCAGAGTTGGCCAATGGCAGTCCATTCTTTCAAGATAGGTAGGTTTAGGATAGTGGAGCATTAAAAAAGCCTGAGGTGAGGTGCTGTTTTCTTCTGACTGCATAGCTATTTTCTATCCATCCTCACTATATATATTTTATGAGGGAAGAATTATGAAGTGTGCTTGCAAGTGAAAGCTTATATCTTGAGAACCAGTTTGGTGTAGTGGTTAAGTGCGCGGACTCTAATCTGGGAGCACTGGGTTTGATTCCCTACTCCTCCACTTACAGTTGCTGGATGACCTTGGGCAAGCCATGGTTCTGGCACAGCTGTTCTTGAAACAACAGTTCTCTCAGAGCTCTCTCAGCCCCACCTACCTCACCGGATGTCTGTTGTGAAGTGAAAGGCGTTTGTAAATTGCTCTGAGACTCTAAGGGTGGGGTATAAATCCAATCTCCTCCCCCCCCTCTTCCCCCCCTTCTAAACTTTGTTGGTCTTAAAGGTGCCTCTGGACTCAAACTTTGTTCAGCAGGAAAAGTATGAGAGCTTACCAAATGAGCCTGACAATTTCTTGTGGACAGACTTAGTAATGGCATATTCCTCATCCCACAGAAAATATGAAAAGATCTAAGGTCCAGGTTTCTTCTTTCAACATGTGTGGCAGCTAATAGTTGATTTTCCCTTATTGACACCCAAATTGGCACTTTATATCCATCTGAAGCAAGTAAGATTCCCATATGTGGAAGACACACAAAAAACAAATCCTGTGTGACATGGAACCAATTTGGGCAGTACTTGCAAACAGATGCGGCACTTCTACAGGCAAGTGCTATGGCTTACCACATGTAATTTTGAAGTGTTGTCTTCATAATCCTCTTGGAAAGTGACACCTTCAAATAATAGGGATGCTAGGCTTTGACTGTGTCTCAGTTTGGCAATACTTCACAAAGTATTAGAAAGACCAACTGCAGTAAAAGCTAAAATCTTGGCTTCAAGCCTTCAACTCATTGTTTAATTATCCAAATTACCTTTGTGTATCATTTAAAATTTATGCTAGAGCAGTTGATGTAAAACTGCCCATAGCCACTTTTGGGAAGAGTAATTCCTGCTTCTCCATAGCACATTATAAGGGTACCCTACAGTGTGTGAACGGAAGCAGTTTGCTTGCTGTTAAATGTTCATCAAGGATATCAGCCAGTTTCAGATTCCAGCATGGTGGTATTGCTTGTGTTACACAGTCTTCCACACTAAGTTGATCACCATCGATATGAGGGGGACAAATACAACCTCACTCTGTTCTGAAATGCATGGAACAGTCTTTATTTACTTACTTGTGTAGTAGATAGATTTTCTGTGGCCTACTCAGATAATAGCTGGGCATTGAGAGTGGGTTGTATAGGAGTGATGCTATATAAAAAATAAGAGGAGAAATGTCTTGGAACATCTTTATGCTTTTAAAACCTAGATTCTCAAAAAAAATTCACAGAACCTTTCAGAGGTTGCAAAACACCTGCAGGGGGAGAGGGTACTAATATTTTTATAGTGATTCATTGTTGCCAGAAGACAAGCAGCAGCTGGAAACCACTTCAGCTGTGAAGCTTATGTGTTCTCTACTATCAAGATTTCAAATGGCAGCCATGGGAATGTTACCTTATTGTTTCTCCCCTCCCCATCCTGCAACCTCATTGAGCCTGTCTGTATGTGGAGAGGGTGGCACCTTTATTTGCCCAGCACCAGACTGTAGCTGTGAGGGCAGCAGTAAACTGCTTTCTGTCACTGATGCCAGTCCCAGGTAGCCTCATTCCCATCCTCCTCCTGTAACTATCTACACATAAGCCCAAAGCCAAAGCATACCTTCAGGTATGCAATCTCCCTTCATATGTCCCCACTACTGGGGGTTGGTAGTTCTGATTTAAATGTTGACTCTAGCC